GACAGCCCCTGGGTCCCCTCCCCCGGGCCCCCTCCCCCCCCGCCGCTCCCAGCCTGGGTGCATGTGCTGAACCCCCTGGTACCTGCAAAGCCGCCCTCGGTCTCCAGGGGAGACCTGCAGCAGCCAGGGGCTACAAGCCTCCCAGCCAGGGTGTAAACTCTGGGGGGCGCTCAGCTCCCACACCCCTGCGCTGCACGTGAAGCCTGCTACTCAGTCCCTCCCCCGGGCCCCCTCCCCCCCCGCCGCTCCCAGCCTGGGTGCATGTGCTGAACCCCCTGGTACCTGCAAAGCCGCCCTCGGTCTCCAGGGGAGACCTGCAGCAGCCAGGGGCTACAAGCCTCCCAGCCAGGGTGTAAACTCTGGGGGGCGCTCAGCTCCCACACCCCTGCGCTGCACGTGAAGCCTGCTACTCAGTCTCCAAGAGGGATCAAGCGCTGGCCAAGCAGCCAGAATGCCCACATGTTATATGGAGCGCTCGTTGCCCGGGAGACAGCCTCTTCATCCCCATTCTGCAGATGGGGAAACTGAGGCACAGTGGGACAGCACCTTACCTAAGGTCACCTGACAGGCTAGTAGCAGGAACAGAGCTCAGGTTTTTGGAGTCCCAGTCTAGCACCCGAGCCCCTAGGCCGCACTGCCTCCTGGAGAAAGAGGAGGAGGCTCAGAAGAGTGGCACTATTTGGTTTGGTGAGGAGCCAAGCTGCTGAGGGGAGCTGAGAATGAGGCGTCCCTTGCACTTGTTCTCCTGCTTAGGGAGACCTTCAGTGACACTGAAAGGCAGCACATTAAAACCCAAGCAAAGGAAATACTTTTGCGTAAGACACGATGAACCTGTGGAACTCACTGCCACTGGATAGTGTGGAGGCATAAATACCAGGCTCCGCCATCGCTGCCCACGAGAGCCTAGCTCCAGTACGTCTGTTAGTCTGAGGGTGCCACAGGGCTCCTCGGCGCTTTGGAGATAGCGATCCCCTTGGGCGGGCTTTTACACGCAGGGCGACAAACCCTTCCTGTTCAGGGCCCCCCAGCTATCGCCTGGGGTGGGGATGGGGGAAGGCAGCAGGTCCCTGGGCAGGTTGCTCCATACTGCCCGGGACTCGGCTGTCGGCCCGACCCGGTGACGTCTGGCACCGGTGACTTGTCTAATTTGCATATTGAGAAGCCCTGGTCATTGGGGGCTGGAGCGCGGGTGGGCCCTGGGCTTGGAGCTGTCTGCAGGCCTGTGCTCGTGCAGATCCTAGGTGTGGGGCCCGGGGACCCGGCCGGTTAGCGGCCTGGCTCAGGGCTGGCCTCTCTCCCCTGGCCCGGCTGCAGCAGTCGCACCAAGAACATGATGTGGTACGGCGTGCTGGGGACCAAGGAGCTCCTGCAGCGGACCTACAAGAACCTGGAGCAGCGAGTCCAGCTGGAGGCGAGTGGAGGAGGCGCCGGGGCGGGACCTGCCCAGCTCTGGCCCGCTGCG